CCAACGAGGTGAAAAGTATCACTACACGTGGATAAAACATCTCAGCCGGTTGTTGCACGATCAGTCGAAACACGTTGGGAAAAAACACTTTTGTGTGCGATGCCTACACGGTTTCAGCCGAGCTGATTTATTAGAATCCCACCGGGAGGATTGCCAAGGTGTGGGGCAGACGGCCATACGAGTCGACATGCCTAAGGAAGGTGACAATATCTTAAAATTCGACAACCACAAGAACCAAATGTCTGTGCCTTATATCATATACGCCGACTTTGAAGCCTTGGTCAAACCTGTTACCGGCGGGGCTCCCACAGGCGGGGTTGTTGGGGGTACCCCAACCACACTCAAAACACAGGAGCATGAAGCCTGTGGGTTTGGATACGTTGTCGTCCGTTGTGACGGGGAAACGAAAGCTCCGGTAGTGTATAGGGGTCCTGACGCGGCTGAAAGGTTTCTAAAGTGTTTGCAGGAGGAAGAAAAAATTATTAGGAACGCACTGTATAGAGTCGCTCCCATGCGTATGACCCGAGCTGACAGGCTAGCTCACGCCTGTAGCACTAACTGTCACGTGTGTGACTCACCACTGAACGGTGATTCGGTGAGAGATCACTGTCACGTAACCGGTAAGTATAGAGGCGCCGCTCACAGCGCGTGTAATCTCAAGCTTAGAATCAACCCTAAGATAATAAACATCCCCGTTGTCTTTCACAACTTGAGAGGGTACGACTCTCATTTGATCATGCAGGCCATCGCGAAAATCGATGGTAATATAACGTGCATCCCCAACAACATGGAGAGATACATCTCCTTCAGCTTAAACGGTCTTAGGTTCATAGATTCAGTACAATTTCTATTGTCTTCATTAGACAGTCTGGTCAAGGCCAACGATACCTTCCCTATTACCGATCGATACACGGACGCCGAGACTAGACCCCTGCTTATGAGGAAGGGTGTGTATCCCTATGAGTACATGGATAGTTTGCCCAAGTTCACCGAGACCACACTACCCCCCATCAGAGAATTTTACAGCAATCTGACAGACTCGGAAATATCCCAAGACGATTACTCGCACGCTATTAATGTATGGAATAAACTGGGTTGTAAGAACCTGGGTGACTATCACGACCTGTACTTGAGGACAGATGTACTGCTGTTAGCCGACGTGTTTGAGACGTTTAGGCGGACATGTTTCAAGCAGTATAAACTCGACCCCGCATGGTATTACACCAGCCCAGGTCTGTCGTGGGATGCCTTGCTTAAAAAGACCGGAGTTAAGTTGGAATTGCTTACGGATTATGACATGCACCTATTCATTGAGAAAGGCTTGCGAGGTGGGATCTCCATGGCAACCAAACGATACGCGAAAGCAAATAATCAATACGTGAAGGGCTACGACCCTAGCAAGCCAACCAATCACATTCTCTACCTCGACGCCAACAACCTGTACGGCTGGGCCATGAGCCAGTATCTACCCACAGGGGGATTCGAATGGGCGTCACATGAGGTCGATGTTATGAGCATCGCGCCGGATTCGAACAAAGGTTATATCCTCGAGGTTGACTTGGAGTATCCCAAGGCATTACACACATCACACAACAGCTACCCCCTGGCCCCCGAACGTATGAGGGTTAACCCAGACTGGATGTCTGAGTACCAACATAACTTGTTAGGTGGGCGTGTGACAGACGTTGAAAAACTCGTGCCCAACTTAATGAATAAGACCAAGTACATCGTTCACTATCGCAACCTACAGCTGTACCTGTCGTTGGGTATGAGGCTGACCAAAATACACAGGGTGCTCGTGTTCGACCAGAGCCCCTGGATGGAGCCTTACATCAGAATGAACACAGACCTCCGAAAGCTTGCCACCAGTGACTTTGAGAAAAATCTCTATAAGCTCATGAACAACTCGGTGTTTGGTAAGACTATGGAGAACCTGAGGAAACGCGTGACCGTGAAGCTGGTTCGGTCGAATGAGGAAGACAAGCTCAGGAGACTGATAGCCAGTCCGGCATTCAACCGTAGCAAGATATTCACCGATGACCTAGTTGCCCTACACATGAAGAAAAGCCACATAAAATTCAACCGGCCTGTTTACGTGGGGATGAGCATCCTCGATTTATCCAAACACCTGATGTACGACTTTTACTACAACGAGCTCAAGAAACAGTACGACGACAGGTGTGAAGTGTTGTACACTGACACGGATTCCCTGCTGATGGAGATTCGAACCGAGGAGGATGTGTACGAGGACATGAAAAAACACCTCGATTTGTACGACACCAGCGACTACCCCAAGGACCATGCCATACACAGCACGGTAAATAAAAAGGTCCTAGGTAAGATGAAGGACGAGTGTGCTGGCACGCCCATAGCCGAGTACATAGGGTTGAGGCCTAAGATGTACTCCATACTGAAGGCCGACAATAGTGAGATCCGGAAGGCTAAGGGTGTTAAGAAGTACGTGGTGAAACAACACATCAAACACGCCAGATTCAAGGAAGCCCTGTTCAAGACCCGTACCTTTAGACATAAAATGAACACACTTAGAAGTGATGGCCATAAGATATACGGACTGACAATAAACAAGACGTCCCTGTCGCCTATGGACACTAAACGTTGGATAGCTATTGATGGGATAAACACGTACGCGTATGGGCATGAGAAAATTGAACCAAGAACATAGATATATATGTCACGGAACCAGAGAAAGTTTGAGGCTATTTACTATAGCCCGCGTGGGTACTGGAAAGGAGCTAGCGCTGTAGATAAGCTGGCTAAAATGGCGCGAGTACCCCCGGAGGAAGCCAAAGCGTGGCTTGAAAAACAAGCCCTGTGGCAGATCTATTTGTCACCACCACGCTACGTGCCTAGAAGGAAGTTTGGTATTAACATACCTAATAGCGTTCACCAGGCAGACCTACTGTTCCTACCCCACGACAAGAGGTACAAGTATGCCTTAACCGTAGTGGACGTAGCCAGTCGCTACAAGGAAGCCGAGCCCTTGACCACGAAAGATTCTGCCCAGGTGGCTAGAGGATTCGAACGCATATACAAACGCAGTCCGCTGGCGTGGCCAACAGAGCTGCAAGTTGACCCCGGGCGGGAGTTCATGGGTGCCGTGTCACAACTGCTAGCCAAACACGATACAAAGGTCAGGCGTGGCACGGCTGGAGCTCCATCATCGCAGCCGCCATAGTTGAGAGATTCAATAGGACTTTGGCTGAGCGTTTATTCGGACATCAGTATGCGAGGGAGTTGGCCGCCCCGGGAAAACGATCGACTGAATGGGTCACAAGGTTACCTAAGGTGGTGTCGGCAATCAACCATGAAGTCACCCGTCTCACCGGCAAGAAACCGGCAGACGCTATCAAACTAAAATCAATAGTTGCAGAGTCGGCTGCTCCATTGCGTGGGAAGGAGAAACAGATACCAGATAGGGCCCTAGTTAGGTATCTATACCAGCCATAGATAAAGGGAACACGAGGGTGATAGCCAGGCGTAAGAGAAGAATTATTGAGCCACCGATCCTGTCAATATGGTCAGATCTCAAAACTTACAACATAGATAAAGTTGACATCGGTTGAAAGCCGACGAGCCTAACTTGTACTACTTGAGGGATGGGCCAGGCAGAGGGTTTGTAAGAGAAGAATTATTGATCGCAACATCACCTTGGGGAATTGTGGCTGCGGGGACATTTTAGTGTTACCTTTCTATCTTTCCGGGTCAACACGAAGTAGTAGATACAATGGTAGCAAGAGCTAAGGGTCCGACCAAAGCCTTATTTGGGAAATAAGGTTTTGCAGAGGCTTTGTTGGAACTGGTCCCGGACAATCATTCTCTCAACTACTCTGTGGCTAGCGCTGAAACCAATTACTTTTGTGAAGCCAAACAAAACCAAGTACCTTTGACAAGTGGGGAAATCGTTTGAATCCATGTGCTCAGTAAACTTTGGGTTACGGTAAGGACAGATTTTGTGACGGCAGTGACATTTTTCTAGTTTCATGTTATTTGTATTGTAATTTTCAAATTCAAAGATATCAAATGTCTTGGAATCCTATTTATCATAAAAAGTTTGTATCAAATGAATAAAATCAATAAGCATCTTAGTGTGATTTTTTTTGTTACGGTAAGGACAGGGAAGTGTAACGGCTGCGACAAAGAAGAAACCGGCTGTGATAGGGCCGTTACAGTAGTGACATTATATACCGTCACAATGTCACTGCCGTAACATGCAGTCTTTACCTGTTTTCTACATGACAGGGACATCCATAAGCAAGTCTTTTGCCTATTACATATTCTTCAAACATTCTAAAATATCTGACTGACAAGTTTCATTAATTATCTTTTAAAGTAAACATATAAAACTGGCTATTATTAAACATGTCACTACCTTTGTTGTGTCACTACCGTAACAATTAATTGCAATGTCCATGCCATAATAATATCATTTTTGTTAATTAATTAAAATTGATTTATCTGTTTATGCCTGGAATTTGTAGTGCGATTATGTTTGGTAGTAGAGCTTCAAGTAAGCATAATATAATTCATATTCTCATTTTGAATTTATTGCTACATATTACTTTACATTTGCAAATCAGAAATGAAGGAATGTTTTTGCTTGTTGGCCCCTTTTAAACAATGAATATAAAATTTTATCTTTTCAAAATGACGTTTCAAATTTCGTAACGGTAGTGACGCATTGTCATGAAATTTCTAATAAAAAGGGTAAAATTTGGAAAATGAAACGTCGTTAAGCTTGCATAAGTTATGTTTTGTATATTCAGAATACTATGAATGTAATCAACAACATTTCAAAATAAAACAAGAAAACAAAATTTGCCAACATGAAATATGCACGAATTTTGAGAATGACTGAGAATATATCTATATCTCTCTCTCTCTCTCACACACACACATTCACACACATTCACACAGGCACACACATTCACACACATTCTTTTTTTCATCATTCATGATATGTCAGAATGATATCCACTTACCTGATGACACAACTTCCGTTATCGGCACACTGGCCTCGTGGGACATGTATCCAAGGATCGTGAAGACTACAAGACCAGCATACATGCTTGTTCCTTCACACAGAAAGGTGCACACAATCGCATTTCTGAATAAGATTAAAACAGAAACTATGTACATTAACACAATCAATCATCCACCAACTTCTATTGGAGGTTTAAGTATTTAACTGCATCTTTACATTCCTGATACTTGAACTCAACAATTCATATCACGTAGCTTAGACAACCGAAACAAAAGTACTTTTGCTTTTAAGCAATGGTACAAGGGGGTTAAGACTCAATTTGTTAAATAGTTATTAACTCAAATTAGAAGCCAGGGAGAACATTCTTTTCAAATATCAAGCTTACTTTTGGGTTCAACAGAAAGGTACGTTTTAAGTCCCATAATTTAAAAAATACCAGAAGATTATGTATATTCTCTCACAAGTATTAGTTCTGGTTGGTCAGTCAGTGTCAAATCACAATCAGTAGGCGGCTCGAAAGAGACTTTGTTTCAAGATTTTGAAAAATCGCACTTGATTATATATTCCGATGCTTCCTTAAACGTCTTTAGTTATACCTATTTCATGGTGACTTACAAATACACACGTTCAAAGTCTATCATTATGCGAAAGAATATCTATTGTACATATTTGAGATTCCTTTCAGAATGAACCTTGAAATGCCACTGCGATTCCTTTCAAAATGAACCTTGAAATGCCAATGAGATCCCTTTTAGATTGAACTTGCTATGTCAGTGAGATCCCTTTTAAACGTAACCTTGAAATGACGGTGACATGGCCTTCAAAATGAAACATGACATAAGGGATGTAGCCTGTCCTGATATTACCTGAGACAGTTTGTGTTGAACTTGGTGTAACTTGACATAGTGATGATACAACCCCAGGCCACACCCAGGGAGTAGAACACCTGGAGACACGCCTCCAACCACACCTGATGAAGACGAAAATATCACTTCAGGATTACCTTCTTATGCAAAATGAGTCATGGTGGAAGGTCACATGTAACAGTAACATTCTTGAAAGAACATCGTATAAAAAAATATAAGCTGTACGTCTGGAGTCATGAAGATTTGACTGTCCCTTGTTTTCATTTTCTTGACACTATATACGGCAACACTTTGGTCAACAATACTGAACAGGTGAACGCCTAAACCAATAGACAACACTGTGGCTTCTTTGCTTTCTACTATGCGCATCCAAAGGGTACAGAAATAATACTATTATACATTGGAAGTGGGTAAATTCGCTTTCATTTTGGCCATGAGGCAGTCTATATGTGCAACGTAACAGAATAGCAGCAAATGTTGTGAGTCTCTTTATAAACAATATTATCAAAGAAAAGATAGCTATTGAAATTCTGAGTAGATCATTGAAATACCACTGTTGACTACTACAAGTCATCAACAATGTGGTAATTAAATCCTTCATCACTAATTGCAAGTATCTTGATAGTTTTATACATTTAAGATGGTTTACTTCTGAAAGGTCGTTGACATCAAGTTAGATATACAATAATTTGATAATCAGATACGCTGATGAGTTCCCTTATAATACACGACCCAAACTCTGCTTATCATTGCTCTGTGACACAATACCTGTACTTCCAGAAGTTTACTGAAATTTGGAGTGAAATAGAAGACAGCTCCATCGGTTCCTCCCGGTAGAGTCAGTCCACGAATGAGCAGAACAGTAAGGATGACATACGGTAAGGTTGCTGTTACATAGACGGCCTGAAATATATCAAGGTGGAGTCCTTCATGTCACTGCTCTCGCAACGTACTGAATTGTCATACTATTGTAATATGGACATAAACATTCTATTATAAACATCACCTTCTCTGAACTATCTGCATCTTCAAAATCAACACCAACACTAAATACAATAGTTAATCTATCATATTTATAGTACCTATAATTCAATGTTGGTTTAACAATGGGTATACAGGACATCGCACCTCTATTACATCCACAAAGAAAATGCTACAGAAAAAGGGTTTTCTTTTCTTTCTGTAACAAATGTTTAGTCAATCGTTCTCTATACATTACACAAATGTCTGTCAATCTAACATGATATTTATACCTTTCCAACAGATCGCACGCCTTTCACCGCGCATATGAAGATGAGGAACCAGGAAGCCAGAAGACACAGCGCCATCTCCCACTTGATCGAACCAATTTCGTCGATACCCTTTGAAATCCCAAGTGCCTTGTAACTGAATATATAGGTATATGTAAACTTTAACATCAGGTTCAAGAAAATTGCTCTCGTATACTTTGTTTGGCTGTGTAAACTGAACGTATGCCGGATTGATGGATCTGTCCCATTGAGATACTATGCCAAAGTTTATTAACTTCATACCTGTACTGAACAGCCTTTGATGCCCTTAATATTTTACCATCAAATACCACATTTTAACGTCTTTTGATTTGACGCGGTCAACGATCGAACATTCGACCCTATGCTCACCGAACAGACACACTATCCATGGTTAATATAATGGATGGCATTTCAAATATAGTGGAATTTATCAGAAACAACAGGATGCATGAAGAGTTCCAAAAGCGAATTATGTTGTCTGCCTAGATATCATCATTTGGTATTTCGTGTGTGTGTTTGCCGTTTAGCGCCGCAGTCACCAATAAGCAAGCTATCTGACTACAAAAATCCCGTTACGACAGTCGCGGCAATCCCGACATCCCCTCTCTCTCTCATTACAGCAAACGGAAAACTTCCACGTACTGCCAAAATTCTTCCGCTGCTGTACGATATTGATTGTGTAAATCCTCGCTACTGTATGTTGTGATGTTGAAGTCAGTAGTATTGAAGCTGTAGGACTTGTTGACCCAGTCACTTGTGGCATTGTACTCTGCACAAAAACATACGTTCAATATTATTTTTATTGCATTGTTTCGTTGAATATTATAGGCATTTAGCGGACATTTAGAAGGATATAATCAGCATATTCAGGAACATGAAAGCCTGAAAACCGTTTCAGTACCACAAGAATCCAATGCTTCAAAGCAGAACATATTGTAAGATTAAACAAAATGATAGAGGGAAACACTTTTAAAGCATGGTCATATATATATATAAATATACTTCAAATTGAATTTTAAACCCTGACCGATATTTTTTGTACATTTTACAACATTACCATTTGTCATCTGGTCATATTACATGATATGGGAACGGTTGAGATACCTCCAGTTAATCTATGGTGCAATGCCTCGACGCCAGCAACACAAGTGTCAGTGTTCCACGTGTTGTTACAGTTCGTCCAGGGTAGGACGGTACTGAAAGAGGATATGGCGTAGTACATCGCCCAGCCACAGATTACGTTCAGGTAGACGGCAGACCCAACACATATGATCAGCATGCCAATGCCGATACCTGCACAAAAAATAAATGACGTGATAGTTCATATTGACGATATCTGGTTGAAGAACAGCTTGGTGTTATTATCTTAAGAAGAAGTGCACCCCACAGCATCAACTTTGTCATTTAGTTTGATTTTACTTGAATTAGAATAACAAGTCTGAAAACATTTTGATGTTATTTTATTACATGTTGCATATAGAACGTTTAATGAATTGTATCCACGTATAATATTATTATTTCTCTTCCTATTGGATGCAATTTGTGCCAGGAAAAAAAATATCATAGTAAAAAACTAAAAGGCTGCTGTGTAGCCTAGTGGTTTAGGCGTTCACCTGCCCGAACGCTTGCTTTCGATTCACCACATGGTTACAATTTGCGAAGTCCATTTCTGTGATATCAAAGAACAACTATATTCTTACTTACTTAGTCATGTATGCTCAACAATATATTTCAAAGGTTTGTAATCGCATAACTCTTATGTCACTTTCCATATTTGCACTAACAAGCAAACTGTTATACAGCATATCATAAACATATGTTACTGTTACAGTTGTCACCAACCTTTCATCAAAGGACACAGGCTCCAGACGTGTGAAGGACTCATGCTAGTAACTCTTATGTCACTTTTATATTTGCTCTAACAAGCAAACTGTTAAGTAGCATATCATAAGCATATGTTACTGTTACAGTTGTCACCAACCTTTCATTAAAGGACACAGGCTCCAGACGTGGGAAGGACTCATTCCTGAAAACTGCCCCAGAGCAACCTCGAGAAAGACCAGAGGAAGGCCACACAGCACAAGACACATGACGAAAGGAATCAAGAACGCCCCTAGAACAAACAGACATTTTGTGTTTTTGTTCAAGTGCATAGTTTATGCTTGTAAGAGGCGACTAATTGGGTCGAGTTGTCAGGCTCGCATACTTGGTTGACACATGTCATCGTATCCCAAATGCGTAGATCGCTGTTCATGTTGTCGATCACTGGTTTGTCTGGTCCAGCTCGATAAAAAATCTCTTGTAGAAGAGTGATCCCAAACAGTTTCATGCGAATTAAGGTAGAAGCTATTTCTGTCGGGAACCAACGTCTTTTGTTCATAATATCATTAAACTGGAAAAAAATGTTTATGTTAAATGCCTAATAAGCATGGACTTCGAAAGTATGCATCAGGAACACCGAATCAGTAATAAGTAGTGGTCCGTCAGTTTGTTTCTTCTTTAACACCGCACTCAGTGGCATTCTAGCTATGTGACGTTGGCCTTTATAAATCATCAAGTGTGAACCAGAAACAAAAACAATGGCCAACATCATGTTCATGGAAAGATATTGATATTTAGTACCTCCACCGTTTCTCTGGCAGATGTACGGGAATCGCCAGACGTTGCCAAGGGCTACGCAGAAACCAATCATGGACAGCAGGTATTCTATCTGGGAAGCCCATTGTTCTCTCCCCTCTCTCCTTTCCATTCCATCATGGTCGGAGTCCTCAGACTCCATCAAATCCGACATAGGAACTTCTACCTCAGATTCACGGTTGGAATGCATCCTGAAGAAATAATGTACAGTAGTTGTGAATGAATTGTGTTGAATTCTCCATCATAAGGGATAAATATTTCAATACCAAAACAGTACAGGACCTTTTTATTAAAGTTAATTATCATTTAATCATTGATTTTTTAAAAGAGATAGATTTGTTAAATGAATTTTGATATATGTTTTGTAAATAGATAAAGTTTTATAATTGGTAGTTCAGATTATCAACTTAGATTGTTAGTGGCTGTATTCTCAAAGGGGCTTGAAGTAGCGTAAATTTTGTGTCCTCCTCAGAGGGTACGTAAATCCCAAAAACTTTCAATGTAAATTTTCACGTACCAAGTTTTAAGCACAGTTTTTTTTGTTCTTTTAAATTTCGGCTAAATTTTCCTGCAATCGCCAGCGGCTGAAGGGATGGTGCAAATCCATCTAGGCTCCATGCAGGTAGCAAAAGTAATGTAAGTCCCCATGGTTCCAGGTATGGTTATCTACCTTCAATGCTGGCGATCTATAGCCCGTGTTATATATTGTATTGTCTTCTTTAATTACACTGTTTTAGTTTTACAGGCTAGTTTTATGCTCATATCTGTGATACTCTAGTATTTTTACTGTCCATCGTCGACAGGTTTAACTCTTCACAATGTTTGCATTTTTGTATTATCTAAATTGTTTTCGTCACGATATGGCTGAGATATTGCCGATGTGACTCACTCACTCACTCAACAAACTACAAGGTGTCCAAGGTAGTTACGCTCCAGTAATTAGACGGTACTTTGAAGGTACACAATGTTTGATTAATGTCAGGTAATTAGCGTCGACTGTGACGTGGCTTACCCGTAACTAACACCTGTATTGACTTACCTTCACCTGGAACGACGGTATAACCTCGTCTCGTCCTTCGGTACAGATAATTAGGGATGAGCAAGTGGTACTCTGTAAGTTTTCAAGGGACCTTGGACCTTTCACTGTAGTTCCTTCAGCAATCACAAGAGGATATTGTTCTTTTAACCGCTTTTTCACTGTTGGTGTTGCTTGTCCAACCCACTCTATTTGTCACTTAGCCAAGACACTTCTGACACAAAACTTCAGTCTCGTTAGAAAAGATGGTGCCCTGAGCTTGTTAGAAGGAAAGTTAGTCACAGTCAGAAGAGAGCGGACTTGCACCAGACCCACTACAAAAGAAATGTTTTGTCCGAGACATTAAAAACTATCTCCCAGTGTGAAGTGAAACAAATCTATTTCACGAACGTTTCTCTTTACTTTTAAGAATACGGATACCTGTACTTCTACTTGCTGTGGGCGAGCGATCTAAGGCGCCAGGCTAGTGATCCAGCGAGCTGAAGGTGCGGGGATCGAGCTCGCCTGTGACCGTGTGTAAAAACCTTGAAGTCAGCTTTGCGTGCAGACTCTTTCAGTGTTGTCACAACCCCCCGTGTATAGTACACAACCCTGTGCACGTAAATGAACCCACGAATCCGTTGGTAAATGACCAGATGGTGGCCACATGAATACGTGCAAACACCTAGTTGCAGGTACTGAAACGTGTAGTAAACTTCGACAAAGTACCATGTGTCCCAATCCACCCAGCTGTGAATGGCTAGGATGGGAAAGCTGTCCGCATTTGTTTCAATTACGCAAAAATATAGAAGAAATAAAAGAGATCAAACAATGTCATATCAAATGATATATACTGAACAAAATATGAAACTTCACATTTGGAGAAATGAATTAGGTGTATGATATCCCATAATTCTCACGCCACGCCTTACAAATGTTGAATAACATAACAAGAGGACGGGTACGATATCTGATCGCCCCAGGTCATGTCGAGAACAATCAAACTCGACTGCATCATTTGCGTAATCTGTTTACGATTTTAGCGACAACCAGTAACTCACTGTTTATGGGTCGCGTAACTGCTCAGACCACACGAAACTGCTTGCGCGCTGCCCATCTTCGTGCCCGACGTCCTTAAGTTGGGCCGATTCTGACACAGGTAAACAGTTATGAACGGCTGGCGATTACGTGCCTGATGCTTAGGGTGTGGATTCGAATCCCGGATGGGACTCAAAGTAACACAAGTACTAGAATTTGTACTTTACTAAGGAAGTGTATTCCCAAATATAACATATGTTACATTTGACCACTTTCTAAATGGCATTGTGTATTCATATGACTTGTCTCATTTAGCACAAATGAATGTTTGTTAACTGCAGCCATTGACGCTATGGTCACAGACAGTGTTGTTTTGTTTGTTTGTGTTTTTTGGTTTTGTTGTGTTTTTGTTGTTGTTTTGTTTTTGTAATCATTGTTTGCTGAAACGTTTGGAATTCTAACCTTGTTTAGAAATTGTCTGGACTGGAAACAGTTTTGAAAAAAATTTGATAATCAAGTACATTGTGCGTCTAAATTTGTTTAGGTTGGGCACTTTTAACATATTCTTTTTAAATACAAATATGTGATTGATCGTTTAAAGGAGAATACTAACATTTTTTCTAAATTCTAAAAGAAACATTTCATGAATAAAACTGAACAAAAAGTTTGTAAAATCGCAATAAACACGTTAAAAACGCACTCATATTTCCGCCTATTACGCAAACACCCGACACTTAAAGGGGCACTGATCCAGAGCGAACAATGTTTCGCGCCAACAATTGCCTAGCTGCCAGGTGGTCAGTCCCTGACGGACGAGACGGACACGGGGCTGGGAAATGTCCACCTTTTCAACCTAAACAATGGAAAAATAAGAACGATGGATGCCAATCATGATCAGATGCCCCTATTTGAAAACATCTCCGGTAGTTCTTGTCTGATTGTAATCAAGTATACCAGCAGTGTAGGCTTTTTCTGATTTTCCGATGCATGGATGGTGTGATGACTGATCCAATTTGATTCTGTTTCTATGTGTTTTTCACCTCGATATTAATTATGTCATGTAACACTGAAATTTCTTTTGACCTATGATATTAAAAACACACATTTGATCTATTTGAGTCTGTAAATAAATCAGCCTAACTTTGCCATTGCTAGAAAAATCTGAACATTTACTTAGGTAAACAGGTATATACAGTAGTACACAGTACACATTAGTACACAGCAAATGCTTACATGTATTTCTTATGGAACAATGAACTTCCGTTCGTATCTATTATGTCTATCCATAAAACGTTCGTATTCATCACTGATTATAACGATTTATACATTTTTTGCATATAAGACTGTTAAAAGACACATGACATTGTTACGGTTAATATTTGCCGTGACAAAAGGTTTAAGAGTCCCCTTTGAACCAGCAAAATAGAACACAGACAAGTCTAAATTATTCAATAATATATTGAACAAACAATGAGCAAGCTACAATGAATGACAATACAGATTTCTAGTACAAGTCTAAAACATTCAATAATATATTGAACAAACAATGAGCAGGCTACAATGAATGACAATACAGATTTCTAGTACAATGCAATTGAGTCACAAATATAAAATATTGGGTCACAAATATCAAATATTTATTCACCAGAGTCTTGACATTTACAGTGAGAACAGATATACTGATTGAAGGCTGTTTACAATGCCAGCAGTTGAATAGACAAGCACGGTCAGTCTTGAAATGTTAAACAACTTGACGATGAAGGAAAACCAACTTCTATCACGATGTTATAAATCCAGTCAGGTGAAAAGTCCCATGTCGCACTACTCAACAACCAGTATTTATATAGCTCTTACACATTTCTCGAGCATTCTAGCAAAGCTAGGCTCCATCAGTATTCTCTCGGAACGATATGGTATGTGGAGCACACGGCATGAAGTCAACAAGCTGCTAAGGGAGGCAACTCTGAAGTGCTATCAAAAAGGCGTGCCGCTAAAAATACTATTGCCATTGAACATATATGATGCGAGATGCGTGCCAAAACCCACACTCAAAACTTTAAACATTGTGACCCATAATAACTATCACTTAATCAATGATATTACATATTACAAAAAACATACTCTCATAACAACATGGAACAGTTTTTTTTGTCAGCTGCAGATGAATGGCATTCCTTTATGTGGATATTGATGGATATATTCCTTGAAGTAGGTAATGGCCTGATGTTATTGCTCTAACTTTAATCGATTTTAATTTTAACGTTTGTATTTTGTTTTTATTCATTTGTTGTAGCATCCAACATAATCATTCAACTTCTCTATTTTCTTGGAAAAATAACAAACCGGATGATCAATTCCTGAATCATCCTCTTGAACCAGGACACCACCTGCACCTACATCACTTGTATCAATTTGGAACTTAAATGCTTTTTCAAAATTTGGTGCCCTGAATACTGGAGAATTCATGAGTATTGTTTTGACTGGTTTAAATGCAGTCTGACAACTGCTATCCCACTGAAATTTTACCTTTTTCCCAAAAAGGTTGATAAGTGGTGACAAAACTTTCTATAATAGCCTGCCAGTCTCTTAGACTGAGGTACTGGAAAGTGTACAACTGCTTCAACTTTAGCATGAACTGGCCGTACCTGGCCGTGCCATACAACATGCCCTAAAACTACAACTTGTGCCTTTCCAAATTCACACTTTGTAAGATTCACAGTCAATTTTGCTTCAGACAGTCTTTGGGAAAGCACGGATTCTCTTCAGATGGTTTTCCCACTCCATGCCATAATTGATAACATCATCCATATAAGCTTCGACACCGTCAAGACCAGATGTGACATTGTTGAGAGTCTGGAACGTGGCTGGTGCGCTCTTCAGACGAAATGGCATCACTTTGTATTGATACAGTCCATCTGGTGTAGCAAAGGCGGATATTTTCATCGAAGCGGAATCTGGCAGAAGCACTTCAATAAGCCAAACTTATGTATTGAGCTTGACCAATGCGATCAATGATATCGTCCGCCCTCGGAATTAAATAAAAATCAGAAAGTTTTCATGTCAGCACAGCAGCGCCAACCATCTCCACCACTCTTCGGCACAAGAACATATGGTGAACTCCACGGACTGTCATGTCTAACATGTATTTTCCTTCTTTCCACAGAATCTCACGTTTCACAGGATTCATCCGATACGAATGATGTTTTACAGGTACAGCACCACCTACATCTATATCATGGCTAACAACATCAGTACGGCCAGGCACATCAGGAAATAAGTGAGAGAACCCATGAATCAAATCTGACATTTGAGCTTTCTGCTCAGGGGATAAATGTGATAATTTCCCATCAATATGAGCTAACACATCAGAATGGTGGAACATTATCACTGAGGCCATCAAACTTCACATTGCCAAGACCACAATCAATATTGTCAACATGTTCACCAGTGACTACAGTACAATCAGTAACTGGTTTGGTTTCTTCCAGTCATGGTATTTCTTAATCAGGTTTTCATGACACAACCTCTTTTGCTTACGACAGCCAGGTGTCAGGATGACATAGCCTGTGGCGCTCTCCTTTTGTCAAAAAGATATTTAACCCTGATATCCAGCTCTCAGTGGTTGATCAGGAATGGGAAGTAAGACTAACACTTTTTGCTAGGCCAGCTTACATGCATTTGAACGTCTGTTCCTAAATGTAAAAACATAGTCTAAAAGATTGATCTCAGGATTTTGATTGAGCCTTTGCTATTTCAATCTTAGTGACCAAATACAAGCTCAAAGAGACTAAAGCCTAAACTTTCCTGAACTGTCTCCTTGACAGCAAAGAGCAACAAATGCACACCCTCACCCCAATCTTTCTCTGTCTGAAAACAATAAGATTGATCATATTCTTCAAAGTTTGAAGAAATCTTTCTAAAGCTCCCTGTGACTCCGGTTAATAAGCACAAGACTTAACCTGCTCAATACCCAACTGGTACATAACGTATTGAAACACCTTGAACATATAATTAGAGCCCTGATCAAACTGAACAGCATATGGCAAACCAACTAAGGTGAAACATTTATGAAAGCCTTGACACTTAAAGGAGTAACAATCCTACGATGAGGAATTGCTTCGGGAAATCTGGTAGCAGCACACATGATAGTGAGAAGAAACGGATTAGATACCAGACTTCGTCTTAGGTAGTGGACAACACAATCAATGATCACTCTACGGAAACGTCCCTCAAAAGTTGGTATAGGTTTTTCAGAGAGCGATAGGAATTTTCTGACTTAGTTTTCCAACATCTGGGC